TGAGTCGATGTGGTGGCTGTCCACGTGGGTAAATTGAAGCCCTGTACCACTTGAGCAGTCACATTTTGTTTTTCTGCATGCTTTGATTAGCTTCTCTATTTTTCTCACCACAAATACATATACGCACACCCAAGGGCAAAGCCATGGAAGATTGCAGTTTTCTGTTTTGAGAGTCATTCTGGTCACATCAACAGCAACGTTAAGTTGACAGAGTGGGTCCCCTGCTCTACCTCTGAAACTGTGACCTTGGACAAATCCTTTCCTGAGCCTTTTCTTTGTTACAATTGGCATGAATGATTGTTTACAGATTTCACCCCTTTGATTCTAATTTTCAGTTCTTTGTGACTGATAAAATGAACAATTGTAGAGGTTCTCTGTTAAAAGGTAATTTTGGGGGTGCATTTAAAGGTAACACTCACCAATAATCTTTTCCTTTGGAGGATGAAATTTTGCTTCTGATGTATATTCCTTGAAAGGAGTGCACTCTCAAATTTTCTAGATTCTGATTGTAGAGACCAGCTCTTTCTTTATGTTTGAAAAGTAGAATATTGAAATGTTTTCACATAGAATTTTAAAGCAATACGGAGTATAAAATTTTGTGGGGTATAACTGAACCATGCTTAGGTTATGGGAAGACTGTATTTATGTGAGGAAACCACAGATGGAATAGAAATAGAATCACTGTCCTGTGCTTTAAAAAAAAAAAAAAAAAAAAGATTATGTAAAGATCCCACCCAAAGGAAAAAAAGCACCAAACATTACTCTGTACGAGACCAGCTATTCAGACCAATGAGAGTCTGTTCAGATGCAGAAACAGATGGTTTTCATTACCCCCAAATCCTTAAAATTACATAAATCCACAGATGTAGCTAAGCTATGGATCTGTGCCCCCTCCTTGCCAAACAGGACTATACGGCCAGGGAAACAGAGGGCTCCTTGTTCATTTCTCCCTTGTAGTTGGGAATGTGGGAAGAAATGCTGCCAAGCCTGCTCTGTAAGGAATTTTTATTATCATCTTCTTGATGATAATAAAGAGAGAAACTTTTTGGAGAAAAACGAACACCCGGTTTGAAAGGCAGTAGGAAAGCTTGTTCAAGAAGCTAGCTTTGCACTTAATTGTCAATTGCAGCAATTGTAGGTGTAAATTTCCAAGTTCACCTCTGCAGATTGGTCCAGATTAGGACTCTCTTTTTATATTTATGTATAGCCTATTTAAAGCCCTTTTCTAGCTACGTTGCTATGTAGAAAATCCATGTTGTGACTTGAAAATATTTTTTTCCTAGTAGCAAAGGATCGTTCCGAACAGATTCATTTTTAAATGTAATGTTTACATCTCTGTAATTCAAAGCATTCCGTAAACAGCCTCTTGCTTCTGAGACCATGTCTGAACACTTCATTGTTGTAGCCAATGATTTCGTTCATTGTCACTGAACAGTTTTCCCATGGGAAAGTAAACTCGAGTTTTATGATCTCAGTGGAAAGTCATACAAGTGACAAGAATTACCTTCATATTCAGTCTTCCAGAAATGCACAGACTGTGAATGACCAGTTACATTCCAGGATTCTAATCTCTTAGGTGTTGTCTTAGATTTCCGTAAAGTCACCTTAAATTGCCTTAGATGGCCGGGTATAGTCGTTATTTAAGTGGTTGTATTTTCTTTCTACTAAGATGTTTGTATTTCTTTTTTATTAAGAGGAATATTTTAGAAAGTGACTTTGAGCATGCATTTTTACTGACAGAAATCATTCTAGGACCCAAAGTCAGGGCCATGACTGTCCATATAGTCATGGACAGTCATTTACACCATTTCTTTGAGGCTTTGTCTAGGAAAAGGGGTTTGAGTAAACAAGTTAGGCCCTCATATGGATGGATGGAGGCAAAGTGTTCTTTCCTGTGGAGCCACATTGCCTAGTGAGGGTGCTATTCATTTGACTAAATGCTGGAGATAGGGCTGCTTCTAGTATTTGATTGTTGAGTGGTTTATTTGATGCAAGTGAGGAGGCTGTGGATTGGATCATGTGTGTTGCATTAATTAACTAAGCCAGGTAAATGTTACTTAAAATATGGGACTCTTTGCAGGGGGGCTTCAGTAAGAATTGAAGCTCTTCTGGTTCAATTTATATCTCCAACTTAATTGCTTTGATTTTCATGTGCACAGCTGGTATTGGCTTGTAAAGAATTTTGCCTGAAAAATGTGGTTTTTGTAACTTAAGTATTTACTTTTGAAGGGCTTTTTGGAATGTCAAGTGTAACAAGATGTGTATATACAACCAATTTCCGTAATTTCTAGTTCAGTAATTTGCTGTAATTATTGAGGAATCAAAGTTTCGACTGCCTCCATTTTATGGAATTAGGGCATGTTAATTGTTATGATTCTCCATAGTTATTCTTAAAGTTAATATTAAATCTCATCTGGTGGAAAACTCAAAAGGAACTGAAGCATATATTTTCTAGTCTACACTAACACTGTTTTAAAAAAAAGGAGATTATTAGATAATTACAGGGCCATCGCTAACTTATTTGAAAAGATATGAAAAGATTACCACCACTACGTAGTCGGTATAGACATATATGGAAACAGATGGCAGGAAAGTAACTTTGAAGTCAAGAAGAAAGAAGGACAACAAATGGAAGAATGGAGAACTTAAAGGGAAGAAATCAAGGTGAAAAAAATGAAGTGGCATTTACTTGGTAGGTTTGTCAAGTAAACACTTGTCCCATTTTGGCAAGGAACTTCCCTGATGTTAGCACCCCAAATCTCTTATGTTGGAAATGCTTCAGTCTTGGGAGAACTGAGGTGATTGGTCTCCTGATTGTCAGGGCAAGGACTTTGCCTCATTTGCTGCTTTGTCCCCAAAACTACATCACTGCCTGGTGGTATTTATTATATGGTAGTTGCCTCTTGCAGCTAGGAATTGAAAGAGTAAGACCAGCAAGGCTTTCTAAAGTATGATAAAAGAGAATCAAAAGCCCCAACTTTAGGAGTGTATTATGCAGTTGGAATTGGAGGATGATGAATTTGTAAATAAGAAAAATAAGACCCAGGATAATTCATTCTGATAAAAGCCAAGGGAAATGATTGCCGAGGAAGAGTTCATGTGTGGCAAAGATGATGAAAAGGGACAGGCATTAAAGAGAAGCCTATTTGGCTCTTAGCTAGAAGACATGTGGACTTTGATCATCGGGGGCCTGGTTACCACAAGGAGAGAAATTGTCAAGTAAATGTCCCTTGAAGGAAGGAAATGGAATCCAGGGCATTTGTATTGGCCAGGAGGTAGAACACCTGTCTTAGATGCTACACAGTGAACAGGTACAGACATGATGGGATTCATTTTAAAAAGTATTTACCAAATGTGGTAAAGGCTCCTTAGTCTCTCTTCAGTTAGGGATAACATGTTGCTAAGACTGGAAATCTTTGGGACATTAATGTGTTTGAAGGTGGAACCGAATGAAATAGCATGGGGAATACCGTGGGAATTCCTTATGTGGAGTGTAAATTCCTTGAGGGAGAATCCATCCTTCCTTAGCATTTTGTGCGGGGCATTCAGACAGGTGTCCTGTTTGATTTTAACTTTCTTGTGATGTTATTATCTGTACTACTTATTTCAATAAATTATTGGCAACATTTCTAGTCTGATTTTTAAGATCAAGGCACCGAATTTCCTTTCAATCCCTCCAAAGAGCTGTGAAGTTTAAATTTATAGAGAGCATTATGCCTAGGCTGCTGCTTTGTGTCAAATGGAGAGTCAGATTCTTCATTTCATGGAAATTGGAAGTGTCAAGGGCCCAGGTGCAGGAGTCCCAGCCCTTCTGCAGACTATCTGACATTGTAGCCTAAGCTGATGTTCGACATGAATGACCTCAACATCAGGCAACATAGAGGCAAAAGGTTTGTGAAATACAGAAAAAGTTGCCTGAAATCATGGTTGTCAAGATTTTGTCAGCAGCTCTCACACCTATGATTAGGTTGGGTGTCAGATGTGTTTGTTTTTCGTTTTTAAAAAATACATAAATCCCTCCGTTGTGGTTGGACAAAATATATATGAAGATGATTTGAATGAGCAGATGCTGGATCTGTTTTACATTTCTGCGGTAACACATGTCAGGAAACTCCATTTCTTAAACTGAAATATCTCAATACAGTTACAGTGTTTATTTTTCTTCTGTGGATGATTTTTAGAAACAATTCAAGTTATCATGGAGCCACCCCAGGACCTAACCGCATGAACGATTGGAAGTCAATTTTTTCCTGGCCTGGGTGTCTCACATTCCCTCAGCAGCTGGATTTAACAGGGGAGGCATTAGACTCAATGTGTCTTCCCATTCCTTGGTTTCGGGTAACTCCCCCCTCCTCTGGATTTTTTCATTTCTTGCACACAGAGTGATAAGTCAGAGAATATTCTGGGGAAATCTAGATGGAATGGCCAACGTATTCAGTTATGTATGTGGATGGTGAATTCTACAGTGTATTTTTCTGTCCCAAAGTCAAAAAACAGTCACTTGCGAACTAATAACACCTTCCTCTCAGGCTGGGAGGTGGCACTCAGTGTGACGACCAGGCCTGGTCATCAGGCAGGGACTGGCATTGTACTTTATGTGCGTCAGCTGGTGATTATTATGAGAAGTGGTTTCCTCTACAGCAATTTTATTTATGTTAGAAAATCATGTTAATTGTCCTAACCTTTCAGCAGTTGCAAAATCTTCTGTGGGGAAAAAAAAATGTGTAAAAATTTCAATGAATAAATTCCTTTCAGCATTGTTCATTTCTTCCTCTATTTTGGATTGAAAGAAAGCACTATGTAATAGATGGTTGGAAATGTGCATCACGTCTAAATAATACTTCACCCAAGAATACCAAACGCAGGGCTACACAGCAAGGTGGTGGGCAGGGGTGGGGGAGTGATGAAAGTTTTGGATATTGTTGCTCAGTTCCTTGTTCCTCTCCCAATGTCTACCTTGGAGCCATGGACTCTATAACTAACCGAAACTTATTTTTTAGGTGCCCACTGATGGCAATGCTGGCCTCCTGGCAGAACCTCAGATCGCCATGTTCTGTGGCAAGCTGAACATGCACATGAACGTGCAAAATGGGAAGTGGGAGTCAGATCCATCGGGGACCAAAACTTGCATCGGTACCAAGGAGGGCATCCTGCAGTACTGCCAAGAAGTAAGTTCTCCCTGGTCACCACTGGTGCTTGTTGGACACATGCATTCATTTAAAAAAAAATGAACATGTTTTATATTTGTATTTTCTTATAGTAAAGGTCTTGGTTTCTCATGATTGATCATACCATGGATTTATTTATATACTTTATGCTACAATTTATATATGTGATTTTTCAAATTATGATGTCCTATTACGGCCTCCATAAATTCAGTAAAGTTGAACATATTTTAACAATTCCTTTTATCTCTAAAATGTATCCAACTGTGCCTCTCTAGTCAAGGTATTATTGTTAAAAATGCTAGAATTCATTTTTTTTTCTCTTACCAACTTGATATATTTTGGTTCATTTTTTTTCTATTTACATCAATTTCAATTTGTTTTCCCTTCCATATTAATTTTGCTTTTTTACAAATGTTAAGAAAAATTATACTGTTAACTCTGTAGTGATACTCAGAAAACTTGCTTCTATGATAAATATTTTTATTTTTCTTGAACATTTTCACTATTCTTAATTTATCCTTCGCACAAAAGAGAAAGAAGGTTGAGTTTCCCTTCTCTGAAATGCTTTAGACCAGAAGTGTTATGGATTTTGGATTTTTTACAGAGTTTGCGACATTTGCAAAATCAAAATCTTATTTTTGGCATGACATCCTAGTGTAACGTGAAATTCATTGTTATACCTTACAGGCATAGCTTGAAGGTAATTTATACATTATTTTAAGTAAATGGGTATTGCCTAGCATTCCCAAGGCCCTAGATTTGATCCCCCCATTCTGAGAAAATGAAGGAAGGATGGAAAGGAGGGAGGGAGGGAGGAATTAAAAAACCCCACATAGTTAGATCAGTGTAGTTGGCACATCTGTCTATCAGACATTATCAATTTTTTTTTTGTTTTGGAAATATTAAAAATCCTCTGAACTAGTTATTTTGAAATGTTCAAATAATTGTTGTTAACCAGTTTTTCTCTGGTGTTTTTTCTGCCCATCTGGCCTCATGCCCTTTATCCACCCCCACCCCCACCACCCCCCCCACTACCACCCCTGCCCCGCTGCTCCCTTCCCAAGTTCTGGGAACCACTGTTCATAGAAAATTACAAGGAAAAAAACCCAAAAGGATGGAATTCAAATGTAGCTAATGGTGTTGAGCACACTACCCTTTTCTGGAATGGCTATTTTGGTACCCGCGTACTATCACTTGCTGCTAGGTGTCTCCTTCAGTTTCAGCTGGGAATCACCAGGTGTTCTTAACACTTGTGTGTTGTCCCTACAGAAGCTACGCTTCTTGACCCTGGAACACCTTCATTTCCTACTGCACTTAGGGATGCTGCTAATGCCTGGGTAGCTCACTTTCTGTCAGGCCACAGAGTGGCTCTTTCCAGTCCCAGACGTTGCTGGGTTGCTGTGCCCACTGTGAGGGGGCCCCCTTGGCTCTCTCCTCCTCTTGCAATGTCTAGGCACCACCCACAGTTGGCAGACTAAGTAAAAGAAGGTCAAAATACCAGGCCTTTTGAGCCATTTTAGTGAATTTGGTCTTTTCTTCTGTAAGAACAGGAAGCCTTTGAAGCTCTTTATTGATTTTTTTTTTTTTTGAAAAAGGGAGAGACTGTAAATTTGAATTTTAGATTGTCGCTGTGTCCTGTACCACACTTCATTTCCCTCCACCCACCTGGTGGAGCCTCTGTGCCAGTGCTTTCCCCATGTGGTGCCATAGCCACATGCCATTCTTGAATACTCACTATGTGGCTAGTCCAAATGGATGTGTGCTGTAAGTGTAAGATAAATATCATATTTTGGACATTTAGTATGAATAAAGATATAAAGTGTTACATTATTAGATTTTATTTAGATTTCATGAAATCTAAATAAACGAAATGATTCATTTTGGATTTCTTGTTAAAGTGATCATAAAGATGTTCTATCAGCCAGCCTTTTATCATTGTGACAAAAACACCTGAGAAAAAACACTAGAAGAGGAAAGACTTATTTTGGCTCGTGGTTTCAGAGGTTTCAGACTGTGATCAGCTGGCTCTGTTGACTCTGGGCCCCAGGTGAGGCAGAACATCATGGCAGAAGGGTGGCAGAGGAAAACAGCTCACCTCATGGCAGCCAGAAGGCAGCAGGAGAGAGAGGAGGGGACAAGGAACAAGATATACCCTTCTGGGAAGTACCACCATTGACTAGTACCTAGGCCTCAAATGCTGTCATTTCCACCACTTCCCAGTAATGCTAAAAATTATGAATCCGTCAATGGATTAATCCACTGATGGGCTCAGAGTCCTCATGATTCATCAGTTCTCCAAAGCCCCACCTCTGAACACTGTTGCATTGGGGACCACGCCTTTCACACCTGAGTGTTTGGGGGACATTCCAGATCCAGACCATAAGAGATGTGAATTTATAACTATGTGTGATTAAACTTGAAGTCCAAAAGAACATAGGCAGCTTGTTCACATTTCCATTCAACAATGCTGCTCTTCCCATGCTGCCAGTGGATCTGGGCTAGAGAGGGTCTTAGATCCCAAGATCTGGCAATCGGGAGAGGGAGGTAGAACTGGAGAGTTCCTACAGACTGTGTTCCCCAGGACTTTACTGGTGTTTGGGAGACAGGATTGAATAAATACATATTTTATTAAAAAAAAAATCTTTCAATGCAAGGTGCCTGTGTCAGAGAAACAATAGTTCTCTCTATGTCCCTCAACGATTTATCTGTAGGTGCCAAGAATGCAATGATGAACAGAACATAGGGCCCATTCTTTAGAGGGTGAGAAATCATGTTAGCATGTGAAAACAGCGTAGCAAAGACGAAAACGATGGCATCACCACCTAACCCTTATGAGCATCTGCTGTGCCAAGTCCCGGCATTCCTTTACCCACTGGTGACGTTTCTGGGAAGAAGCCAGGGAGAAACCCAGGCAGAGCCTTGGGGAACTGCAACATTTAAGAGGAACAAAGAGAAAGAATGTCACTAGGCGAGAATGAAAAGTGGCCAGAGAGACAAGATCAGAAGTAGGAGGTGCTACGTGCTGGAAGTCAAGCTTGGTTTACCGTGAAATGCGAAATGCTGAGAGTACAGGGCTGACGCACACTGAAGGAGTTGAAGTATGATATTTGACCAGGTAGAAATCAAGCCTCTCATGCAAACTGACCACATGGCAAAGGTTTCATCCAGTTCAATTTATTAAAGAGGTAAACTCTAAGACTTTAACACAGGTCCATTTGGACTTGGAGAAATGTATTTTGTTAACGCATTTCATTTGCCATGGCTACGAACAGGAATCATCTGGAATTTTCTGGAGGAATATCATGGAATTATTTCCATGGGACAGGAAACACTGGTATTGCCATCAGTTATCCACAGTGTTGGTGCTCACAGAGTTGTTAAACAGCCTCTTCAAGTTACCAATCAGTCAAAAGAAATGCCCCTGCAGAATCAGATCACCCTGTCTCTCAACACCCTTGGGATCTGTGATTCCAAACTTGCCTTTCATTGCTAGGATTCTTTTGCCCACCTCTAAGCCTTGAATGTTGTTTTGTGACAACAAAGTTTTTCTTATTTAGTGTCAAATTAAGTGTTATCACTGACCTCTGGGATAGCACTTTCCTTGAAATAGCTGGGAGGAAGTCAAACGACATTAGTGGATGATGAGTACAGCTTGGGGCTCTTGAGGCAGGATCTGGAGGCAAAGAGCTGGAGGGAAAACCAAGACAAAGGAACCATCTTTTAGTTTTTTTTGGTTTTTTCAGTACTGGGCATTGAACCCAGGCCTTGCCCACTAGGCAAGCGCTCTCCCACTTAGCCACATCCCCAGCCTTCTTTAAAATTCGAGACAGGATCTCACTACATTGCCCAGCCTGGCCTCAAACTTGCAATCCTCCTGCTTCAGCCTCCCCAGTAGCTGGGATTACAGGCCTGGGCCACTATGGCCTGCTGTTTTTATATTTTTAAAATGAGAAGAACTTGAACTAAAGAAAATTTAAGCAAAACTCTGGGAAGGGTGGCCATCCTTCATAAGAACTAGTCTCAGATGTCTAGTGACATTCCTGTAAGAACTAGGGAAGAATGAGATCCAGTGGGTAAGTGGTTGGCTGGAGTTTTAGAAAGGGCAGGAACATCTCCTTTTGTGAGAAAGAGAAATGATGAAATAATAATGATGGTGAGTTACGCAGCTTTTGTTGCCCAGTGACCAAACTCACTAAGCAACTTACAGGTGTGGAAAATATTTTCTCCTATCAATGGGGAAGATGCTGCAAGGATAGCTTACACAATTCAAAACAAAACAAAAACCAAAAATGCACTGATGTTAGGTCCTCAGACACTGGAACTGAGACTTAGTGCGGTCTGGGATTTGCCTAACAGGGTCTCTCTTTGTTTTCTGCTTGTCCTTTCTCTTGCTGTTTGCTCACTTTCTCCCGCTGAGATGCCAACTTCCTTCTGCCCATGTGCACTAGAGTTCCAGGGAAGGATATGGATTGGTCTTACTTTTGGCCCCACATCCACTCCTGGATCAGTCACCAAGCACATAGACTCAGCACCCAGACTATGTGGGTGTGAGGTATCTTTAATATCCAAAGTGGTGTGGGGTGAGGGACTGCTTCCTGAAAAGGGATGAAGAATGGCCTGAGGCAAAATAGAACGATAGTCACAGTGCAATGCAGAGCTCAGGGATAAGAGTTTTTCAGGTCGGAGAGTAGCTGCTGGAGGAATTCATGACTTTAACTGGCTTTGCAGGGAAGTACTAGTATGGAGTGCAGAGATGTTCACGCAAAACTATTGAGCAGTGTTTGATGTACTCTATCCAATGGTGCATCTGGAAAAATCTAGAATATTCCATATTGATATTTTAGGGCCTATCTGCCACTTTCCACACTGTAGCTATTCTGTTTTTTTTTTGTTTTTATAATTAGAAATAATGAATAGTTTTTGTTAGTTGCATTTTTTTGTATGTTCTGGAAATGTTTATATTTGCCTATATTTCTTTTTTATGTCCATGTTTTATTTTC